TGTGTTTGTGTGAGTTAGAATAGTGGGGAATATCTGCCTGTAAAGAATCTGATAGCGGGGAGGAGCTAGTGTGGCAAAGCAACCCGGGGAGACGATGAGAAGGGAACGGGCCCTGAGCATTGGGTGGAAGGTTATTAACATTGTTCCCGAAATCCTGACCACGTCCTCTTCCCATGGCAGTGAAAAGATGTGGAAGGTCTGGTTATCTCTAACGGCTTATCACGCGGAATAGCCTAAAATTTACAATCACTCCAGCCCGAAACTTCCTGGTAACTGATTTTTAAGAAAGCGGGTTGCTGGGTGAAGATCACTTGGTGTGGAGAGCTGCTGTTCCCAGGGTAGGTCAGCAGACCTGAACCCAGGCAGGTCATTCCTTCAAGAATATGTGAGGTTTTCACTACCAGATCCTCCTCCGATATTAACCTGGATCTTTTCCTAAGGAATCATCTTTTCAGGGCTTCATATTTTCAGGGAAATGATATTTTCAGGTCTTCTTCCTTAGGACCAACGTTCCCACACTGGGTCAATTAGAGACAGGGTCTACCAGTGTTCTGGGTCTGGTCTCAGCCTTTTCTTCCCTGAATAATTCCTGGGTGGGATGGGATTAAGCCAAAAGACGTGGTAAAGACTGAGCGTTCAGAAGATGATTTCTCTCTCAAAATGCATTTCAGGCAACTTGCCTTTCTGAGCCAGGCACTGACAGTAGTTTCTCTGCTCTGATGGGAGTTATTCTTCCATTGTCTATTTTAAATGAAAATCTGGACAACATAAATAAACGGTGTAACTTTTTGATAACTTAATGGGAAACCTTTTCTCACCTGTTAAATTTCTTTTCTTCTCCCCTTCTTTTTTTATTATAACCAGGCGGTTGTTCCCTAAATAGCAAAGTGCCTTTACCCACTGGAGAGGGCTATGGCCGGTGTTTAGAATTTTAAAATAAGCCTAGGGCTATCAAGCCAGCAAACATCTCTGACTAAGTGCCTAAAGAACAGGGCACAACAAAAGATATCTCCAGGTACCCCGGCGCAGGGCTGAGTGGCACAGCTCTGAAAGATCCGGATAGCATTTTAACGTGATGGTTTTGTTACATGACTGGCAGCTGGGGCAGAGCTTTTGCTGTAAATGATCAAGTAACCTTTTCAAGTGGCTGGCGCTAAGTATTACTTACTATTTATCATGGGCTGGGAGCCTCCAACTAAGGGGCCGTGGATCTATTATCGAGAAATGGGTTTTACTACTCCTCTTTTTTTTTACAGCTTATGAATGGTTGTCAGCCTTCCACAATGTATTCGGCGGTGATTAAGACAACTTTTTTTATAGTCGTACATTTTAAACAATATCTTGGCTCTCTTTCCTTCCCCCCCCCGAGCCCAGTTTAATAAAGTGTAAACGTGCAAAAGGTCAGCCCTTCCTGTACAATAGAGCATCTACTTTTGATATATGGCTTCCTACTGCCTTCCGCTCGCTCGCTGTCCCCAGCTCTCCCCGCTCGGGCTCCCACTCCCCCCCAGTGCTCCCAGTCCTTCCCGGTGATGTCACCCGCAGCGAGGAGGCAGCTTTATTGCTGCCTTGGTTGGTTTATCCCTGTTTTCTGCTGGGGATCTCGAAAGTGCTCTCCAGAGTGCAGAAAACTGAACGTTGGGAGATGTCAGCATGGTCCTCTGAGATGCGTTTCTCGCATGGATTTGGATTTCCTCTTTTGCTCTAATGAAAGTAAAAGTGCTTTTTTTTTAGGTAGGATTTTAACATATATCTTTTTTTTTTTCTTTTTTGGCACACAGACCAGCTTTTTTCTTTCCCTTTTTGCTTTCCTGTTCTCCTATATTTCCAGGTTTTCCCCTTTCTCCCTCTTTCTGGTGTGGTATTTAATGCAGTGAGATCATGGCCATTGCCAAGTCCCACAAACCAAGGTAGATAAAGGTCCCTGGAGATGTTCTGTTTGGTGTCACACCACCAGGCCCGTGTCCCTGCTGCCCCCATCCCACCAGGCTCTCCATGTCCCCCGAACCATACCTCCTCCAGCAGCAGCTCAATTCCATTTGGCTGGAATTCCCTTTCACTCCAGAAGCTCAGCCACCTCCTGTCCATCCTTCCATCACCCTTACTGGCTTCTGAACCTTTCTTATATATATTTAAGATGTTGGCCTCTTCACTGGGCAACTTCTCTGTGGACCTGCTCCATCCTGAGCCTGATCTTAACTCCTGTTCCCCATCTGCTCCCTCTTCACCCCTCCAGCCTCTCCTCCTCCTCAGCCCCAGGTCAGTGGTCCCCGTGCTCCCTCCAGCTCCGCTTTGGCCAGGATTCTTCTCCAAACTCCTCTGTCCTCTCCAGCCTGGCCTCTCCTGCCTGCCTGTGGCTTGGGGTGGCTGCCCCTCTGTGGTGGGGGGACGGATGCTGTCTGAGAAATCAAACCTCCTTGCGTGCCAAGACCTGGGTTTGGGTTTGAGGAGGGCTTGGGTGGTGAGTTCTGCCTCCAGCAGTTGACGGTGGTGTCTCACTGCAGCGTCGTCCCTGGAAAAAGGGAAGCCAAGCGTTTTCTGAGATACTTTTTAATCTGAAATGCTGAAAGTAAACACATGCACGTTGCAGAAGGTAAACAAGCACCTACTGTCTAAGGTCTGGTGGTTACTGCAGGGATCTGCTGGTTGTTTCCGAGTTCTCTGATCCCGACAGGCTGTTTCTCTCTTTCCTGGTGGGATTTGGTGGCTCTGTTGCCCGCTGTGCAGCTCTTGTCTGAGGGCAAGAGCAAGAAACATCAGCACCAGGCTTTGACCCAGGCACTGGTGCTCAAAAGGCATGTTTTATGCATCAGATCTTGTTCTTCCTGCGGGTTTTCCTGACGTGGGGTCTCGCCTTGCACTCGTAGATGTCAGCCATAGAGACGATGACGGAGAAACTGGAGAGTTTTGCAGCCATGAAGGCAGACACCGGCACGTCCCTGCAGCCCCTTCCTCACCACCCCTTCAACTTCCGATCGCCGCCCCCCACGCTCTCCGACCCCATCCTGCGCAAGGGCAAGGAGCGATACACCTGCAGGTAAGGGACCAAGCCCCCCAACCCGGTGGGGTGGCCCTTGGAGAAGGCCTCTCCAGCTGGGACGCTCCATCAGACACCAACAGAGCAGCTCGACATGGACATCTTCAGTGTCCCGGCAGGGGTGGGAGGGAAAAAACAAGGAGCAGCAGAATTAGAACAGAGCGTTCTGATGACTAATTCGCTCTGAAATAGCTTGTTTTGTCTGGTAGAAAAATCAGCATCTTCTATTTTCTTTGTAATTTTTAATAACCTTGAGAGCAGATCTGGAGATTCTCAAGCAAACAGCCTTTTCCAAGCCAAGTCTCTTGTGTGTGGTAGCAAATGCCACAGTTTCCAATGCGAGTGCAATCTCAGCCGTGGCCAGGCTCAGCTATGCAAAAAATAATGCGATTTTAAAAAATGCCATGGAGTAAACCACACTTTGAAACACAGTTGTATCCACAGAAAATACTCACGTCTCCACCACGGCTCTAAAAGCTGGTGTCAGAGCAGGTCACTGGGGACTAAAAGCCTGTATCTGCTTGTGCAGCTTTACCTGCAGCTACTGGGGGTTCTTGGGGTGGCTCCCACCGCATCTTTCTTGGGTGCAGTAAGTGGGTAGAGGTTTTGTTTGATGTGTTCATCAAACTCTTACGTTCAACTTTGCCACAAAAGCTACAGGCTCAGAATTCAGTTGAGTACTAAGAAATTTGAGGTTTCTACCTACAATAAGGACTAAACTTAGATACACACTAGCAAGTCAATATTTGAATTGTCATTGTTGATTAACACTGGCATTACCCATTCATCTCAAAGACATCTGAAGGCTCTCAATGTCTCTTAAATTTAGAAAATCCACTCATATGTTCCTTCTACAACATTAAGCATCGGGTTTCATAGTCACAGAACGTAACCCTCCATCCTTAATATTTTATTTCCCAATTAATGCTTTTATTTATACCTCCCTTCCTTTGGAGTTTGCTATGAATCAGATCTGTGGTGGAACACAGTTCCTGCTCTTATTTCATTTCCTACTGCTGCCTTGCCTTCTTCCAAGCAGACTGTTGGACTCCCAGCAGCACATCCTGAGAGCAGTAGCACGATGGTTTGGGTAGCTGCAGCGTTTACCCAAAAGAAAATTCTGTGGATTTTGAGAAGGATGATGGAGTAGATCTGTACGATAAGGAACTAAAGAGGGATATAAAGGAGATCTATAAAAATCCGAAGCGATGTGAATAGGCAGTGATTAAATGCTCTTTTTCCTAGTGCAGAAGGAGGTAGTATGGAATGCAGCCACAGAGCTCAGACAAGAGGGAGGTTCTTTTACACCCCACAGAGCTCAGCAGAGGAACTCACTGCTGTGGGAGGCTGTGGGTGCATTCAGAAAGCTTCCAGAAAAATAATGGGAAGAAACTGAGCTGAGGGGAGACCTTATCAATGCCTACAAGTATCTCAAGGGAGGGTTGAAGGAGGAGGGAGCCAGACTCTTTTCAGTGGTTCCCAGTGAGAGGACGAGGGGCAACGGGCACAAGTTGGAACATAAAGGGTTCCACTTGAATATGAGGAGAAACTTCTTCACGGTGAGGGTGACAGAGCCCTGGAAGAGGCTGCCCAGGGAGGGCGTGGAGTCCCCTTCTCTGGAGATCTTCAAGCCCCACCTGGATGCTCCTGAGTAACATGCTCTGACAAGCTCTGGGCAATCCTGCTTCAGCAGGGGGGTTGGACTGGATGATCTCTATGGTCCCTTCCAACTCTAAAAATTTAGTGAAATTCAGTGAAACTCGGGAAAAGGGCATGGAACACAACTATTCAACCTTAGGCTGAGGGGGATCTTCACCTTTGGGTGGAAGCTGGGATGGGGATGGGTGACCACAACCTCGCTGTGTCCTGGTGTGCTTGGTTTGGGAGCGGTGTCCCTGGGAGGTGGTGGTGGAAGGGTGGCAGGACTCGTGCAGTGATGGTGCCTTTGCCTTTCCCTGTCTAGGTACTGTGGTAAGATCTTCCCTCGCTCGGCAAATCTGACCCGGCATCTGCGGACACACACTGGAGAACAGCCCTACAGGTGATGTTGTCCCCCTGGATAAAACCCTTTTCCCAACACACTCCTCATTCACCCCTCCCTTCTATGTTTTTTTTTTTTTTTCCTCCTTCCTATAAAGCTGTGCCAACTTAATACCGCAGTCCTGTAGCATTACATATAGTGATTCATAGGATTGTATATTATGTGTACCAGCCAAAAATAATCAGGCTTGGCAGCTTGAAGATAGACACTTAACTTATATTTAGATGTATGCTGGCGAATGAGCGGGTCTGATTTGCAGTGTTGTTTAACACTCACATTAACCATTCATCTCAAGGACAGCTGAAGGTGCTGAATGTCTCTGAAAATCGGGCTGTTTTGAAGGGCTTGCCAGTAATTTAACTGCTGGGTCTAGCAAGATTTTTTTTTTTTTTTCTTTCTTTCTTTTCCTAAGGCATATCGGAGGTGCCTGGAGTAGTGGATCAAAAAACCAAAGAAAAGCAAAGCCCTGTAGTGTATCTGCTTTAAAATCTAAGTGAAGGAGTGTCCTACCTTAAATCACAGCGTTTAAAAAGAGGAATCAGAGGGGGAGAAATTCACGCAGAGTTTCAAATGCTCATTTGGCTCAACTACTATTTTCTGCTAGTTGTGGACAAGGTGATCTGATTTTTTTTATACTTTTATGCTTAGTTTGCACTGTGTCCCTGCAAAAGGGCACACTGAAAAACTGCCCATCTCCTCCCCCAGCCAAGACCCTGCACCTTCAAGGCATCACCATCAACCTGGTGCCAGGTCTCATAAAGGGACTCCTCTTTATGTGAGTGGTTTAAATTTAAATAAAACTCACAAAAAAAAAAAAAATCTAAGTGTATGTGCATAGGTATATGAAGGAACATTTCTCTTGGAAGACCAAGTGGGAATTTTTTCCCCCAATATTTTCTCCAAATGTTTCACAGTCAGTGTCAGAAAACTTTGGCCAAAAATCTGCTTTGGTTGATTTCCTGTTAGAGTAGGTGCATGTTTGAGCAAAAGGGAATGAGTGAGGGATGGGTAGCCCACTGAGAATGAAGCATTGTGTTTCCCATCATGTGAGTAAGTGTTTTGCACATTGTCAAACAATGGTAACAATTCTAACAGTTTCATTTTTGGTGGCTAATATTACAGTATTTCTATACACACTCATAAGCTCACAACAAAGCCAATGGAATAGTTGTTATATCAAGAGAAGCACAAACAAATCCGTGAGCAGCAAAAGGCCATGTGGTCAAATATATCATATTTTTATGTTTGGTTTAACTTACGAAGCTCCTCTCTCCCACATTGTAATCCCCGGTACGTACAGAGTCAATTTTTTTTCCATACAGAATTTTGAGTGTAGACATTAGGTAAATTAAAAATAAAAAAAAGCCCTCTCCAAAGCAGACATATATTTTGGAACCATTCCCTGTTCTGATTTTTTCAGTTGCGTTATTTGATATGCCTTGAATGAATACTGTGTATTCACTGCACACCCCTGTCTGACTAAAATGCTCACTCCCGATTATTCCGAGATTGTTAGTTCAGTTTTCTTCCAAAAAAGGAGACTTGCAACTTAACAAAGGTTAGGAAAATAAAGATTTATTTGATCTGGTCTTCTCCCAGAAAATGGCCTGTGTGTTTTTTTTGTAATAGAGGTTTGACTTCTGGACAATGTTGCATTATAATAGCACTCCTGAGAGTTAGGGCTACGTTTACAGAAGAGCTTAATTATCATTGATTTTCTTTTGCTCTCAGAGAACTGAGATTTCCAACTTTTGCAGCAATAATTGTTTTGAAAGCTTGTTTTTTAAGCGCCGACTTTATGCAGGTAAAAGGAGGTTGCTGACTTTTCAGTGGTTTACTGATGTCTTTGTAAAACTTCTCTTTAGATTGTTTAAATGTTTTTTCTTTTGATTCTATCGGAGTTATATATTCATCTAAATATGAATTAAAATGTTCTTAAAGCTAATGTAACTCACCAAATGTCTAGATGTAGATCAAGAAACAGACAGGCCAGAAAATAAGCTGTTTGGGTTTGATTCCTGATTATCACTGAGAAAGGGTGTGTTTTTTACCAAGTCACTTAAACTTCCCAGGTGTCTATTTATTTATGTATAAAGTAGGAATCGATAGCACATGAGCAATAAGGAGGCAAATTGATTCTTTTTGCAAGGGAAAGTGCTACATGTTTTTTTGAAGAGTCAGAAATACTTGGTAGTGCACTTCCTAAAAACCCACTGGTTTGAAAAGACTCAAAGGCAATATGCTGCACAGGCGAATTTTTCTTTTCACTTTTCTTTTTTTTTGTTCTTTTCCATCTAAAATTCAGTTGCATGGGCTTCAAAACCTGTAAAAAGGACTACCAAACTTAACTGTTTCTTTCAGAGAAATGCAAAGTAACTTGGGCTTGTGAAATGTCAGACAGAAACTCAGGTCATAAAAAACAGGACTTTGTTGTCATTCTGGGGTTTCCAAGCCAAGTCTGGGAGAGGCAGTTTTTAGAGAAGCTCCTTATTCTTGGGGCACAGGAACGTATTGTAGCCGTGGGTTTGCTTCTTAGTTTTGCTTTCGTTCTCTGGAATCACAGAAACTACCTAAAACCTGGGCTGAGACCAACTAAAAGCTGTTTGATTCAGCGAGACTTTCTTTTCTTCTTTCGAATGTCCATTCCCTCCAGGATGCCCGTCTAATTGATTCTTGAATTACACCCAATCCTGAAGCCTTGCCTGCGAGGCTGTGATTCCCCCTATAAAGATGTGCTTCCTGACGTCTGTTTTGAATTTGTTTTTCTTTAATTTCCTTTTAGGCCCCCGTGTCCTGTTATCTGCATTAAGCTGAAACTAACAACTAAAGCTGACGTCTACCATCTCACTTAAGATCGCACATAGTTCAATAAAAACCTCTTCTTTCTGGTTTTCTCTTTTTTTTTAAAAACGTAGCCTAAATTCATCCCTGGTGTAAATGCACTTGAGTCGAAATATTTGCTCAGAGGAGTAGCTTTCCCTGCGCTTTAGGCTTTTGTTGCTGCAATTCTGTCTTTACAGCTCACATTGATCATCAAATAAGTGTAAGAGCTGTACAGTCATCAGCTCAGTTACTCCTTTCTTTACTGGGATTTTCTCTCTGTTTTTCCCCCTCCCATCACATCACCCCCGGTACCCGAATCCCCTGGGATCTCCTGCCGTTCCTCGGGGCTCCCCAGGTCCAATTTTGGCTCCTTCTCACCTATCATTCACTCCCACTTTCTATTTTTTTAGCCCGTGGGTGTGTGTTACTTTAAACTGATGAGGAAGAAGCTTTATTAGCGTTTTTGTCAGTGTGTTTACAAAACAAATACTGCTTCTTTTGAGTTTTATTCTTTTCCTGCCTCTGCGTTCACCTCTTCCCTGAATTTAAGCCGGTTCCTCTGTCTGGGTCATTTATTTAGATTAAAACCAGCAGAGATCCAAGCACCGACCCCTCTGGGACCACAAATAATAGAGTACGTCTCCCTCATCCCTTTGCTCTCAGACATCAGCTCTTGCTCCTTTCCAATGCCCCCTCATTTTTTTAGCCCGTGGGTGTGTGTTACTTTAAACTGATGAGGAAGAAGCTTTATTAGCGTTTTTGTCAGTGTGTTTACAAAACAAATACTGCTTCTTTTGAGTTTTATTCTTTTCCTGCCTCTGCGTTCACCTCTTCCCTGAATTTAAGCCGGTTCCTCTGTCTGGGTCATTTATTTAGATTAAAACCAGCAGAGATCCAAGCACCGACCCCTCTGGGACCACAAATAATAGAGTACGTCTCCCTCATCCCTTTGCTCTCAGACATCAGCTCTTGCTCCTTTCTTTTTTTTTTTTTTTTTAACAAGCTCTTTATCCTTTCCCCGTACCCTACCCTGGATCCACATAGCTCATAGTTAGAGCGGGGACCTGTCAGAGGGAACTTTTCAAAGACTTCCTGAACATCTAAATAAATTGACATACGGGAGGCCGGGGCTTTCTTGCCCGACGCATCAAGGGCTGCCTTTGAAGTGGTCGGAGCTGTGAGTGATGGGGGTGAGATGTGGGCACCTTCTCGGGGTGTCCTGGGCACTGGGGGGGTTCAGGCAGGAGGGATGGGGCTGGTGGGGACGGGCAGGGAGGAGAAACCTCAGCAGGGACGAGGAGAGAGCTGGGGGTGCAATACCAGTAGACCCAAGCTGGGCAAAACTGCTAATAATAATCCTTGTGAATAACAGGGATGTTGGAGTATCAGCTATTTTGGACATTTCAGTTTTCTGGTCATTTCCATTTCTCTGGAAGCAGAGTCATTCATTGCCAGCAGATAGGAGGGGAATAAGAGCTGGGAATCTGCATGTTTAACTCCCCACATCTAAACTCTGCTCGTTCTTGCTGGTGTTCAAAGAACGCCTTGTTTTCTATATTCATTCAATTCATGTTTTTTTTGAAGAAATGAAAGAGGAAAACTTTTTACGGCTGAGAAGACTGTGGTTTAAAAAGTGATTTTGCTTTCTTCCTAGGTTAATCATAATAAAGGTTCATTATTTGAAATATCTTTATTCTTTTTGGTGACTTAACAGTAGGAAATTCGGAGGTGGCCGTGGAATCCATAAACATTCAGTGAGAGAGAGTGTTTCATAAATGTATCTCTGCTATTTCCAACAATAATATCAATTTATTTTTGGAGACCAAATAAAAATCACAGCTGTAGCACATCTGGAAATTGTGTGGGTGTTTCACAGCAGAGATTTTTTTTTTTTTTTACACTTAAACCTCCTTCCCCCATTTGAACCTGTTGTGTTTGTAGGACATAATACTATGTCCTTAGTGTGAGGGCAAATCCAGTTTCATATTTGAACAACACAGGCACAAGATCAGTTCTGGGGAACTCGGGCATTCCACAGGTCCCTTCCAACCCGGACAATTCTATAATTCTATTCCCAAAACATGCAGAAATGCACCAGTTTCTTCATGTCTTACCCAGAGGCGGCTCAGCTCCGCGGGGCAGGTTTTGCTCTCAGTTAAGGAGCGGTTCTGCCTGAAGGAAGCGGTTTTGTCCCGGAATTACGAGGGCTTAAGAACAGTTTTTATTTTGTCCCGTAAGCGCAGAGGATTTGCAGAGGTCTGTAGCGGAGAAAGGATTCTACTTCTCTTGGGTTTTGGAAGTAGAGCCATGAGGAAAGGAGCTTTGTTGAGCTACAAATGACGTATTTAAAGGGAGATCTAATGAGGGATTCAAGCGGATTCAAAGAGGAATTCGATTTTCTGTAGCTTTAGTGCTGAAACTCTTCATTGTGGCTCAAAGCTGCCCTCTTCAGTACATCGGCTGCCTCCTCCTCCTGCACTGGAAGAGAAGGAGAGGTTCACAAAGCTCCAGGGTTTAGCAAAGCCTTGTTTTTATTTGGGGGGGGGGAATCTGAATCCAGACAGGAGGGGTGGCAACTTTGAAGAGGCTTCCAGCACGTCCCCCGTGGCTCCTGCCGAAGTTTGGTTCAAAGAGGGAACTTTTCTTCACTCAGCAGTTTCCCTGAACATCCTGGCTTGGCTCCTTACGTTGCATATTTTTTCATCATAAACCAGATATTCACTACGTTGGAGTAAATCTTAGCCTGTTTGGAAACGACGGTGTATTTCTTGGGAGCTATTGTGCTAAAATAATAATCGTAATTACCTTTAAAGGCACGTCGTACTGCCTGCATCTTGAGTACCACAAGGAATCTCACAAATAAATCTGGAGTTTTCTGTATGTCCAGATCCTAACAACATAGGGATAGGCAAGCTAAGAACTATTTTATGTATTTAACCTCCCTTCTTTCTTCTCCTTCTGTCCTCTTTTTCCTCCCTCCACAGCCATATTTCACCTGCTTCCCCTACGAAATGAGAAGGGTGGAAGGAATAAATTCACCTTTCTTATTTTTACATTCATGTGTGGAAAAGTAATTATTTTTTATAAAATTCTTATTTGTTTGGACGGCTCACTTCTTAATTAATCCTAATCCTTTCTTTGTGCTCCTTGAATAACAATAATATCAGATTTGTCTGGAATGATTAATGCCTTGTGCTTTCCAGGTCCTTGGCTGAGTAAAGATTTATAGACCAGCATTTTCTGGTTTTCTGATAGTCAGATTTTTCTTTTTCTTTTTTGGTTTTTTTCCTCACGTTGCACTCTTTGGCATTTGCTTCTATTTTTCAGGTGTAAATACTGTGACAGGTCATTCAGCATTTCCTCCAACCTCCAGCGGCACGTTCGAAACATCCATAACAAGGAGAAGCCATTCAAATGTCACCTGTGTAACCGATGCTTCGGGCAGCAGACCAACCTGGACAGGCATCTTAAGAAACATGAACACGAGAACGTTCCAGGTGGGAAGGGATATTGCTCTGTGGTTCTGTTGGGGCACAGGAGGGAGAAGACACCATGGTCTGGTCTCTCTGGTCCTTGGGAAGCTCCACTGCCTGATCCAGAGTCTCTCCCCATCTCTCCTGGAGCACCATGAGGGACTGGAAGGGGCTCTAAGGTCTCCCCGGAGCCTTCTCTTCTCCAGGCTGAACCCCCCAACTCTCTCAGTCCCCCCTCCCAGCAGAGGGGCTCCAGCCCTCCCAGTATCTTTGTGGCCTCCTCTGGCCCCGCTCCAAGAGGTCCATGTTCTTCTGATGTTGGTGCCCCCACAGCTGGAGGCAGCACTGCAGGGTCAAGCCTGGAAAACACAAGCTTCTTTTGGCAACATTGGTCCATGAGGTTTCTCTTAAATGTTAAATGATTAATACATAGTGAGAGGATTGTTGCATAATCCTCCTCCTTTATCTTTCCTCTTAATGATAGCTTTGACAAGCTGATGTCTGATTGTTTCTCCCCTTGTCCTTTCTTGTCTCTCTTGCGCAGTGAGCCAGCACTCTGGAGTCATCACCAACCACCTTGGGACCAGTGCCTCTTCCCCAAACTCGGAATCAGACAACCATGCACTTTTAGATGAAAAAGAGGATTCGTATTTCTCTGAAATCAGAAATTTTATTGCAAATAGTGAGATGAATCAAGCATCAACTTTAGCAGATAAAAGGTAGACAAGCAAATAAAATAACCCGGTGACATGTGTTGTTAAGGTGGTTGACAGACCTGTCAGCCTCTGTCCTGAAGTATTTGGTGTGAAATGCTTAAAGGAGATAAATTTTGGGAGGTTTGGGAGGAAAATGCATTCAACTTCAAGCTCTAAGCCACAATAGGTCTTTTTGGAAAGGGATTTCAGTTAGGGCCCCTGAGAGTGGACAGGGAGGCTGCTCCACTGGCTCCAGCACAATAATTGTGACAAAACACTGTTTCTTCTCTAGATAAAAATGTAATTATTGAACTGTTACCTTCTGCCACAAAGCCACATGGCCTGTTCCATCACCCATCAGAGAGCAGCAGTTAAAGAAACTGGAGGCACCTGCTTTTCTACTCTATTAGTTTCAGATCTATCCATATCACAAACCTTGTTTTGGCTGAGTGATATCTCCCCTGCTGCTCTCCTTTTTCCACAAATAGCTGTTTAATGCCAATACTAAGATTTAAGTCCAAAATGTAAGTATGAAAAATCCGCATGATGATGAGAAACGTCAGTAAGAAGTGTGGAACGTGCTGACAAAATGTCTGGTGAGGATGTTAAACTTACTTTGTGACTAAGATTTAAGTCCAAAATGTAAGTATGAGAAATCCACGTGATGATGAGAAAGGTCAGTAAGAAGTGTGGAACATGCTGACATAAAATTTCTGGTGAGGATGTTAATCAATTGGTAGCATCCTCTTGGGTTCCAAGGCCATAGTGCTTGTGATCCTGCTCTCATTCTCTTAACATGATGTAAAACTGCTACTTCTGTGGGGTCCGTGAGGTCCTTACGGCATGAATAGCAAAAGTAATCTGAGAGAGAATTTTGGCTGGCTGTTAGATGACACTTCTGGTTCCTCCTTCTGGTTGTTCAAAGGGAGCTTGCTAGAATTCAGTAGCACCGAGAAGGACAAAAGCCACTTGTCCCACCGAAGCTATATTTGAAGAGATGGAAACCCATCATTTAAATCCAGACTAGACAATATTCTAGTTTGAAAAGCACTGGGATTAGTATGTACTTGATTTGCTTATTAGCTCTTAAGACACTGTGAAGGCTGGTTTTTAAATGTCTGAAACATGTTGGTTTTCCTTTTCCTTGCAGTTTAAATAATATGTATATGTACATAAATACATCTTTGTGTTCATACATATGTATAAAATTATCAAAGTCTTGTATTACAGTGAAAATGCATTACTTACGCATTTGGCATCTTTTCTTTTCTTCTTTTCTTTCTTCTTCCCCCTTCCCCGTGACCAAATATTTCAGGCCAGAAATCCAGGATATTGATGGCAATTCCCAGTGTCACGGATTAGCAAATGAGAAAACAGAAGACGTGGATGATGAGGATGAAGAACTGGAAGAGGAAGACGACGACAGCCTGACAGGGAAGTCACAGGATGAAACGGTATCGCCTGCCGCAGAGCCCCGAGGAGCATTTGAGGATGAGGAGGATGAAGAGCCCACATCTCTCACCATGAGCTTTGACCACACCCGAAGGTGAGGGGGGTCCATTCCCTTTGAGAAGTCCCCGGGGCTCAGATTTGTGACCCCGTGTCACCAGTAGATTGTGAGTGCTGTCGTTTTGTTTTTCAAGCCATGTATCATACCTCCAGTTTGATCCAAACATTCACTTGAGAGGTTCCATTTTCACCGTGGTGGGGGACACGAAACAAGTGGACTGCCAGGAGAATCTGGGAGAAGGTTTCTCCAAGACTTGAGAAGTTTGTATCGGGAGAACAGTTAATCCAACACAAAAACCAGTATTTTCAGGGTTCCATAGTTCCTTCAAACACTGGTCAGGGCAAAGGAAAAGGCAAAGTATGAAACCCCTTTTGTGCTGCTCTGCCCACTTTAGTTGTAGTAGAGCATTTTTGACTTAAAGTGAAGTTCTCAGAGCTCTGGGAGAAAGTGAAGCCTTTTGCTCTGCCCACTTTAGTTGTAGTAGAGCATTTTTGACTTAAAGTGAAGTTCTCAGAGCTCTGGAAGAAAGTGAAGCCTTTTTTTTTTCCAAAGTCAAGCCATGTCCAGACACCTTTAAAATGAATGTTTGTTGCACATAGTATAGACTTAGTTTTTTTTTTTGGCCTCTCTTTCCCATTCCTAAGTAATGCCCCATGATGCCAAGTAGTATCTTACTTGATTTTGGTGCATCACTGTTTTCAGTGCAACTCAAAGCAGACCCAGCAGCATTCCTCAGACACGGATCTGCTGTCAGACATCTCAGGGAGTGGGCAGGAATGGGGCCTCTCCACGCAGAAGACCAAAGTGAACTGTAGCCAGACTGCCTCACAAACACCTCCAGCACTAACGCTTGTTTGTGCCTCGTCACGCTCTCCACTTTTTCTTTGCTCCTCGCATTTTGTGTGGTTTTGGTGTCTGTCTGTCTGTCTGTCGGTCCATGCATGTGGCTTGTGAGCCCCTCCATGGTATGTGCATGCAGGCACTGGGCTAGCAACAACACACTTGGGCTAGATGTGAACGGTGAGACGAGCTAACAACAGGTCAACCCCTTCCCCTGGTCATTGGTACAGGTGTATTGAGGAGGACGAAGCCGGCTTGTTAGATTTGGAGCAGATGCCGAATTTTGGGAAGGGGCTGGATCTTCGCAAAGCAGCCGAGGAAGCATTTGAAGTTAAAGATGTGTTTAATTCCACCTTAGACTCTGAGACAATAAAACAGACTCTGTACAGGCAGGCTAAAAACCAGGTGGGTATATGTCAGAACGTTTTATCTAGTTGCCACCAGCGCGCACAGTAGGATGAGCAAGCAGCTGGCTGCCTTTAGCTAAGGTTTCTTTTCCCCATCCAGCGAGCAGGAATTCTAACTGTAATGCCTAAATCATACATGAGCCATGTCTTGTTGCAACTGTACTGAAATAGAGGAGGAAGGGAGTGGGCACCAGTTTTAGGTCACCAGATCGATTGATCATTCAGCCTGTGCTGTGAGAACGTGCTTATATAGTAAGATAGAGGCATCTGTCTGTTTTTATCTGTCTGTGTGAATGTTTTTATGACTATTACGTATTTATACTTTGGGATGGCTCTTCAGGGATGACTGAGAAACTGGAGGTTTGTTCTGCAGAAGCAGTGATAAAATATCCTTGGGTTTGATTGTAAAAGGTGTAATGGACAATAGCGTTTCCAGGACTTGCAGTCCAGCAAGTCTAGAGGATTTCCTCAGTTATCTCCATGATTCCTAAGAGCAAACCATAAAATGGAGATCTGCCCTCTGAGCTAGACCAGTTCAGACCCACCAGGAAACCTCAAAATGACATCTCAACACCTACTGGAGCTGTGAGCAAGGTCTGGAGGTGTGGGGCAGATCCGTCTGTGTTTTCTGCATTGTTATTAAAACAAAACGCTCAGTCTGCTTTTATGAAGTTCATATTTGATCTCTATGAAAGGACTCTCACAAAACTTCAGTGAAGTTACATCACTGGACTGGACTGGAGAGACCATACTCAGCCCTTCCTGGGCAATGAGTAGAGCTGTTGCCTTGGAGTCCCTTTCTAACCTTCAAGCAACAGAAATTGTCATGAAATCTATTTTAAATGTCCAGCAAAGCAGTAGCTTCCTGCAGTTGCCAAACAGAACAGGATTTTTGATTGGTCATTACCCAAAACTCGTGAAATTACTGTCCTCCTTCATAGTAGGTGCTAATACTGATGCTGGGGAAGGTCTGCTTGAAGATAAGGTGCAGCTTTTTTCTGGGTCAAACTAATTTAGACTCTTGCCTGACTCTCACACGTGTCCTGTTACTGATACGCCAAAGGTACTAACTATTTCAGAACAGCTTGCTCTTCCAAAATTTGCACTACATTGTTAGGTCCCTATGCTGGGATGGAGTGGGGTATTTTGGGGGTTTTGAACCAATTTTCTGGTGTATGAGTTGCAGGACTAGTTACACTTAAATCACAGTAAGTAACTTAAATAATTTGAACCATCTCTCGTGCAGGAAATGTAATAGTGAAACCTTTGTGTGAGCAGCACAGTTCCTTTATGGCTCTCCTTCTTTGGAGCCATTGTAGAAGTGTGTGTGTCCCTGATGCTACAAAGCTGAACCTCTTCCAGCACACACCTACCGTACAGGAACGTGTTGACTTGACAAGTAGATGTGACTCTCAGCTTTTGAGAGGCAGAAGATGGGTAGCTGTTGGTATTGTCACCACTACAGTTGTGTTACTAAGGGTCCCATTGCAATGAGTGCTCTTCTGGGGTCCCAGATAACCTGTGGTCTTTGTCTCTTGCCCTGCAAAGGACTGTGTGTGGGTGGGTGTGATGGAGAGGGCTACACGGCCACAGTTACATACATTACACCAGCTGAGGTGGACCAGGGAGGGTGGGGACCACGTCCTCCTCTGTCTCAGGTCATGGGTGACAACTACTTTGGCTTTCACCTCCAGTGTGTGAGGTCATCATCCACCTAAGTCTTCACATCACCTATGTGGGCTGTGAAGGACACAATGGTGTATGAGACACGTAGTCTTGGAAGAGGGAGAGCATTTGGGCTGCAGAGAAGGAAGCAGATTGTCATAGAGAAAGCAGAAGTCTCAGTGCATTTTTCTGAGTTGTGAGGTTATCATCCACCTAAGTCTCCACATCACCTATGTGGGCTGTGAAGGACACAATGGTGTATGAGACACGTAGTCTTGGAAGAGGGAGAGCATTTGGGCTGCAGAGAAGGAAGCAGATTGTCATAGAGAAAGCAGAAGTCTCAGTGCATTTTTCTGAGCAGACATTTCTAACGTTTTTAATCTACCTAAATTTCACTGCAGCAATAAATCTACCCCAACAGGAACACATGAACACCTAAATTTCACTGCAGCAATAAATCTACCCCTACAGGAACACATGAACACACTGGTAATGCCAACAAGCATTTCATGCCTATATTCCTAAATACCTGTGATTTCATCATCCACCTAAGTCTTCACATCACCTATGTGGGCTGTGAAGGACACAATGGTGTATGAGACACGTAGTCTTGGAAGAGGGAGAGCATTTGGGCTGCAGAGAAGGAAGCAGATTGTCATAGAGAAAGCAGAAGTCTCAGTGCATTTTTCTCAGCAGACATTTCTAACGTTTTTAATCTACCTAAATTTCACTGCAGCAATAAATCTACCCCAACAGGAACACATGAACACAGCATTTCATGCCTATATTCCTAAATACCTGTGATTTCTGCAGGCACCGGGGAGCTCATGCCAAGCAGTGGGTCAGGATGGGTGGCCTCTGCCCACAGTTGCCCATGGGTTACAGCTGACATGGATGTTCCTTCACCATTTCTGTGGCATGTGACTGGGCCCTGGCCTCTCTTAAGCCACTTGCTTGTCTGTAGAACAGAAAAAAAGAGCAGTTGGCATCCTGCATGTAGCTGCTTTCCCCTGAGGGCAGGGCCTAGAACCGAGTGTGGGGGCTCGTGACCAAGAGCAGAAAGGATTTGGTCCCATAAAAGCCAGTGGGAATGATGGCCTCTCCTGAGAAACCCTGCAACTGCCCGTAAGACCTGAGGAGTTGGAGGGATGGGGGTCACCCTAGCGTGGGGATGTCAGGTAGACCTCCTGACATGGCTGCCCCGTGTCTCCTCTGTGGTTAGATGTGGGGGGGGGGGGAGGCTGGATATTGGGAAAAATGTTTTCACTGAAAGGGTTCTCAGCCCTTGGAATGGGCTGCCCAGGGAGGTGGTTGAGGCCCCATCCCTGGAGGTGTTCAAAAGATGGGTTGATGTAGTGCTGGGAGGTCTGGTTTAGTGATGGTGTTGCTTTTTGTTTGTTGGGTGGGTGTTGATTTTTGTCAACATTAGGTTGACGGTTGGACAAGATGATCTTTAAGGCCCCTTCCAACCTAGAAGATTCTGTGATTGATGCTGTGCTTCACACGGCCGTGGCAGCCCGTCCCACGTGTGTGTGCTCACACCTCTCCTCTGCCTTGCTCTCTCCTCCTCCAGGCTTATGCAATGATGCTGTCCCTGTCTGAGAACGCTCCCCTCCACGCGTCCTCCCAGAACTCGCTGGGGGCTTGGTTGGACATGGCAGGAGCAGCTTCAGAGTCGGGGACCTTTAACCCCATCAACCACCTCTGAGAGGTCACCAAGGCACTGGCCAGAGCCCAGGCGAGGAGGCGGAGGTGCTGCAGTAATCCTAGCAAAAACCCTAGCAAGCAGAAGATGGATGAGAGGGCCTCAGGGAGGAGTCTGGACTTTTGGCTGAGAAGGAAACCTGTCGCGTCCGACCTACAAGTCCTGCATTTTTGATCTATCTACCCAGGAGTTTTCATTTCTAATTTATCAGAACGAACCTCTCCACAACTGGATCACCCCGAAGGATCTCACAGTCTGTAGGAACAGCACGAGCCAAGACCCGAATTGCAGCAGTGCAATCAGACGTTGGCCCCTCTACCATTACAAACCAGTATGACTGAGCCAGTAAAGCCTGCGTGCTAACGAAAGCTTGAAACCATTCAGTACCATTTCCTTCCCATTCCGCTGAATAGTGAAGTAATAAGGAAAAATGAGCCAGGTGTGACCTGTCCCTGGTGCAATTCTGACGTAGTCACTGGAGTTCTACCAGGGAAGGATAAATTCAACCTGGTTGATTGACCCCCAAAAGGATTTGAAATTCTGCGCTCCCACCGAAATGCCATCCTGTCCCTTGCTCCTGAGGAAACATCTTGTCCCAGTGCAAAGCTTCTGGAACACGAGGCTGTGAATGGATTTCCCTCTCTGGTTGGGACATCTTCCCCCCCAGCCTTGCTGAGGTTGGGGTGATGGAGGTATCACACAAATCCCTGGTTGATGGTCACCAGCTGTGCCCCGAGTGCCCTTCTGTGTGTGCCTGCCCTGCCAGGGTAGGGCTGTGTCCCTCTCTGCTGGTGCCTGTGAGCCCAGGGGCTCGGAGTGTGTCACACAAAGCCATGCTCAGCTGGGGATGGGGTTGGTGACACCACCATGGAGCTGCTGAAGATGCTTGGACTTCCCCAGGCAGAGAGGTCCCGGGGCAAAGCCCTGCCCAGAAAGTGTGGCGGGCAGTCTCGCCTTGCGAAGGGCAATTCAGAATCATCTTCTAATTTATCTCTCCCAGGGCTTTTTTAATTTTATTTTATTTTAGAGTGACATCCTGTCAGTGTTGGTAGCATCTGGGAACCGTGGCGGAAGTTTCTGGCCCGTGCAGTTGTTTTGGTACGCTGGATGGTTGCTTACGCACATCACACAGCTATTCGGCCTCTAATTTAAGTGGAAAGGTCCAAATCTCCCCACTTTTCAGCGTCCTCTGTTGTAGCACGTGGCTAAGAATGGAATGGTCCGTCTGGCTCTGGAATTGCTCACAGATATTTTAAGGAGGGATTTTAAATCTCTGCGAAAATCTCATCTTCTCCTCTGACAAGGAGCAGCCTCCAGGAATAGTGGTGTTTGTGCTGTCCTGCACGGCAGCTGCTGGGCAGGGGCTTTGCAGGTAAAGCTGAATTAGGGAATAATCAGGAAAGTGATTAGACTTGGCAAGGAGGCTACACAGAAAAGGGTGAGAACGGGTGTCCTGAGAGTTTTCCAACTGCAGCCTCTACAGATGAGAAGCGCCGAGGACTGAACTGCTCCTGCACCTGAAGGAACCAGGTGCTGCCTCTGGCCATTGCCATCCTGCAGGGAGCCAGGGAGCTCAAAATGAACTTTTCCCACCCATTTCAGCCTATTTTAGTGCTGGCCGAGCTTCCAGTAAGTGTTCTATCAGGTAATACCTGCTTGTGGAATGGGGTTAGTGCCCGGTGCTGGCGAAGCAGGAGGCTTGGCGTGACGGACACTCCAGCGTGAAGGGACATGATGGCAAAGCCTGTTCCAGCATGCTAAAACAGAGGAAACAGCTACTGCAAGAAAGAGAGGTTGTGTTTGGAGCAATCCCTTCGTAATTCCCTCTTTGGAGCAGGTGGGGGGCTGGCTGTAGGGAGCCAGGAGCCCCCACTGCCCGCGGAGGAGAGCATCTGGGGAA